TGGTGCACAGCAATGCAAAGCAATGCCCTGCACTGCAAGTCAACGAAAAGCACAGGAATGCAAGGCGATGCAATGAAACTTGAAACGGTGCAACGCAAGGTAAAGCAATGCAGTGTAAAGCAGTACAAAGCAAAGCACTGCAACGTAGTGGAAAGCAACGCCACGCAGTGCAACGCAATGCAAAGCCATACGCAATGCAAAGAAACTGCAAGCAATGCAGAGCAAAGCGAATCAATGCAATGCAATGCAGCGCAATGCACCGCAATGCGCAGCAAGGAAATGCAATACCAAAACAATGCACGACAACGCAAAGACATACAATGTGATGCAAAAGCATACGAGACGGCGCAAGTGGCGGCGACGGACGGCCACAGGCTGGCCAGACCCACACAGGGTGGCCCGGCTGCCTTAGACGAGAGGTACCCCCAAGCCCTTGAGTGCACGCAATGCTCGGGGAGTGCCTGACATCCCGTGTGTAGGCAGTACGCGGAGAGGGCCGAACATCTTCCGGACACACGGAGGGGAGCGAGAAGAGTAGTACTCCTAATGTGCAGCTGTAGGTCGGAGGAGAGAAGATTGTATGAACATGTGTTCTGGGTTTCGTTCAGATGTCTGAGATCTGCGCCTGCGCTGGCCTCCCTCTGGCAGCGCAGCCCCTGGCGCGCTCCGCGCGCCAGGGAGGGAGGCGGGCCCAGTGCCGATCCAAGCTTTCAGCGCAGCACTTCCAAAGTTGCAGTTTTGTCGTCCTCTGGGGAGAGGGGGGAGGAGGGAAGCGAGGGCGTAGCAACGATGACCTTTCCACCTGCTCCAGCGGCCGCCGCGCTCCCCTCCTCCTCTCTGCCTCCCCTCTCCCCGCCACTTCCTCGCCTGCTTCCCCCCGTGCCTCCCCTCCCTCTCTCCCAGGTCTCCCCCCCTCGCCCTGCCCGGCCTGGCTGTGCTCCTCTTCCCAACCGGAGCAGGGGCCTCGGAGTGTGTTCATCAACGATAGGCACCCTGACTGGCCAAGTCAGTCTCTGGGGCCGGTGCTGGGCGAAGAGGTTTCATCACGCAGAGGTCTCAGGATAATATTCCGCCGCCGACGGGGGATGGACGGTTGTGTCCAACCCGCTTGTATAGGGTTCTCGTTCTGAATGGATCCTTGCTTGTGCGAACCTCTCGCCTCCTGCATCCTATTCCTCCTACTCCTTGCGTCCCCTCTCCCTCCTCTTCCTCCTCCTCTCCTCTAGTTCTCCTCCTCTTCCTCCTCCTCCTCCTCCTCCTCCTCCTCCCCCTCCTCCTGGCGTCATCTTGCGGGGCTGAAGGGAGGTCCAGCGGACTGGGGTGTTACGCACACCTTCGCCGAGACCTCGCGGCGCTTTGGATGGCTGGCAATTGCGCGATTGTCGCCGCCAGTTTCGTGGGCTCCTGGGGTTGGGTGTCACGCACACCTCGCCGAGTTTTCGCGGCGCCTTGGTGGGTTGCGAACTGAGCAATTCTCGCCACTGTCGTGGGCTCCTGGGAGGCAGGGCGGAACGGGGTGTCACGCAGATCTCGCCGAGACCTCGCGGCTCTCTGGAGGGGCTGGCAACTGCGCAACGGTCGCCAATTCCGTCAGCTCCTGGGAGGGCGGAACGGGGGGTCACGCACACCTCTGAGACATCGCGACTCCCTGGGGAGCAGGCAGTTGCGCAATTGTCTCCACTTTCTTGGGCTCTTTGGATTTCCAGCAGAGTGGGATTTCCCCATCGCGCCCTCTTATTGTCACTGTTTGGGGTTCTCGTTGCGTTCGCTTCCGCGCCCTTCGGTTTCCACTTTTAGGCGCCTGTCCTACCGTGCCCTCGTGTGTCCATCTCTGGATGCTTCCGCTTACTCTCGCTGCCGCGCCCTTCTGTTTCCAATTTTGGGTTAATCGTCGTGGTTTCGTTGCCGCGCTTCTTTGCTGTCATTTCTGGGTGCGTCTGGTCAGTTGTGCAGCTTCCTCCTTTTTGTTGCACTTGTTGTTGGATACTTCCTGTTGCTTTCGCTGCCGCGCCATTTGGTTTCCACTTCCGGCGGTTCTCGCACCGCACTCACTTGTTCTCATTTGTGGAAGCTGTGCGCTGCTTTCGCTGCTGCGCCCGTTTGTTTCCGTTTGTGGGTATGTGTTTCTTACCGCGTCTTGTCACTCTCATTTGTTGATATTTCTTCTTACTCGTGTTGCCGCGCCATTGTGTTTCCACTTTGGGATGCTTCTCTTTACTCTCGCTGCCGCGCCCGTTTTGTTTCCACGTTGGGATTCTTGATGTGTTCGCTACCGCGCCCTGTTGTTTCCAATTTCAAACGCTTCTCGTGCGCACCCTCTTGTTTCCACTTTAAGATACTTCTCGTTGATATCCTTGCCACACCCTTTTGCTTCCATTTTCGGGTGCTCCTTGTTACTTTCGCTGAGGCGCCCTTTTGTTTGCACTTATAGGTGCTTTTCCTACGGCGCCATTTCGTTTCTCGCGTTGTCTTGCCCATCTGTTGTCATGTTTGGGTTCTTGGTTATTCTCGTTGCTCTCGCCATTGCGCCCTGTTGTTTCCACTTGTTTGGCGTGTTTCCCACAGCGGTCTTTTCAAACATTGCTTAGGGATGCGTATCATTGCTCTCGTTGTCGCGTTGCTCTGATTTCACGTCTGGGTGTTCCTGCGCACTGCGGGTCGTTCAAAATGTTCGTTCGCATTGAGCGGTCCTGGGTATAGCCGCCACATGTTAAGGAGGGGTTGGGTACGCCCCTGGGTAATTTTCGGACTGCAGGCCCTGTTGACAAAAGCTGCGGCTGCCACTAAGATTGAGGCACCGGAGCACGCACCGTGCTATTCGGGCCAGTGCGAGACCCGCGGCTCGGTCGCAAAGACCGCCAGGGCGGCACACACTGCACATGACGGCGGGCGCACGACACCCCGGCAGGTGTGCGGCACAGGCTACTCTGGGCTTCTTGAATGAGCGCGGGGGAGGGGCGCAGTCCCCCCGACGGGGGTCCGCCTCGCCTCGTCGTCGCGCCGCGGCGAGGTGGGAGCGCCTTCGGCGCGCGGCGGCTGCCCGCGACGGGGGTCGACGTGGGGCGGTCGGCGGGGGCGACGCCCCCCCGAGGCTTCTCGAGGAACTCGGAGTACAGTGAGCGGCTTGAATAAGGAACACTCACTTTCCAAAAGGGGCTCGCTCGTCCCTCGGGCTTGCATGCGTTATTTCCAGCTCCCTATGCGTTACGTATTATGTATCGTTGCTTATGCGTTATGCCTTGGGGTAAAAAAGGGGCTTCGTTCCTCATTTGTCTTTCCTTGGGTCAGGCCGATGACTGTAAGCGAGCAGCCCGACAAAGGATAGGGTCGCAGGGAGGAGAGAGGTCACCCGCGTTGTCGCGGCTCCGCTTGTGCCTCGCGTCGCGCGCCGTGGTGGGAAGCGGAGAGGTGACCCTCTCCATGGGGGCGGCACCCAGGGCGCGCAGGTGGCCGCGCCTCGCGCGACGTGGGGTGGCCCAGGAAGGGGGGGGGTACAGTCGGGGCCCTGAGGAAGGAACCCTTTTCGTTGGGGAGGGGCTCGGTGTTCCTTAGTTGTGTCGCAGCTTGCCTAGGATTTTCCTGAGGTGTTCGATGCGAGATCGAAGTTCAGCTTACGGAAAAGAGGGGCCTCGTTCCTCATTTAGGGTTCCTTAGGTCAACGCCCCGGCTGTAAGGCAAGACTGGACGGCGGGCGGCCGCGCCTTTCGTCCAGCCTCCGCAGAGCGGTGGCGGGCGGGAGCAGCAGCAGGAAGCGAGAAGAAGGCAGGCTGTCCAGTGCACCCGTCGCGCAGTGCTCAGGTACTCCAGATTTCGTAATAACAGGGAGGGGGGTCTCATTTCGGGGGGGGGTCTCTTCCAGGCTATCTTGGAGGGCCTGGGGGGGTCTGGGGACGATGTTTTGGAGGGTTCTCCCACGGGGGGGGTCTGAAATGGCTTGTCTTGGAGGGTCCAGACCCCCTCCCTTTTGTTACGGAGTCTGGAGTACGCATGCGCCGGTGGGAATCCTGGTTTCGCGTGGGGCATGGAAGCGTGCCGAATTGCGAGGATGCGCTCGTCTGACGACGTGGCAACACCACGGCCTGAGGGAGGACCCAGCGGGACTGGACGGGCCTGGAACCTGGGCCTCAGGGACGCGCGCGGCGACGCACAAGGCGCGTGCGTGACCCGAGCCAGGGCCAGGAGCGAGGAGGAGGGACTAGGAGGCTTTCGGAGGCGTTCTTCAGGGGGCGTCTGGGCGGGCGCATCGGATCCCAAGGATGGGGCTCTGGAGTCCTGAAAGGGAGCCGATGGATGATGAGGATGACGAGGAGGACATCTCGGGGCCCTCCTCTCTCGGGTTCCGTTGTCCTCGTTCACAGGCCGCCGCTAGCTCTCGGCTGGTAGAGAGCATTGTTGTGGGTTCGGCTTCCTATGTGCCCGTGCATGTTCGTGCGCCTCCCTGTTTGGGAGGACTGCGCTTAGCTGCGCGCCTATCCCCTTGCAGCTTACGCCACCAGCAACCAACGCGTGCCACGTACCCACTCCGTCCCCCTTGTTCTGGCCCCTTCTTCTCCGCCTTCCTTGATCGTGCACAACACGATGGTGCCTTTTCGGGGTGTCCAGCTCCGCTGTGCCACCCGTCGGCGGAGAGGGGCAGGCAACAGCGCAACGGGAATGGATCGGCGGGAGGGGCAGGATGCCAGACAACCATGGCGCGACTGCACCCGGCTGCCGCCCCAGGCCCAGCAGCCCGCCCACGAGGCCCGTTCCCCGCGCAGACTCGCCGTGCCGTGGGCCCTGGGTAAGGTCGGGGCAGCGTCTCGAGCCCTCCGCCCGCCTCTGTGCGAGAGCACCTCGGGCAGCACCCCCGACCCTCCCGACGACCGCGGCACTCCGGGTGGCACTCGGGTCCAGCCCTCTCCCCTCCGCCTCCCCCGATGCTCCAGATCGGCCCCCCCTCCGCCCTCCGCCCTGCCCCCCCCCCCCCTCGCCTCCTCCCTCCTCGCCCGCCCTCCCGCCAGTCAGCTCGAGCGAACGGACGCCGCTGGTCGAGGCGGCTCTGGCAGGGCACCAGGAGCGGGCCGCCCCCGTGCGCGGAGCGGTCCGGGGGAGGGCCGGGCGAGGACCGAGGGCGGCCTGGTCCAGGGGGCCCATGCGGGATGGGGGCCCCTGCAAGCGGCGGTCAGCCGGAGCGCCGGCTCCTGCAGGGTCCTGCAGGGCCAGGGCTGCATCGACCCGGGCTTGGGCGCAGGATCCTGCAGGATCGTGCAGGAGCCTGCAGGGCCTGACCGACACGGGTCTGGAGTGACCCGGGTCCGAAGAGATCCCCGACACGGGCAGGCGCCAGAGAATCGTCTCGTACGCGGTGGGGGGGGGGGACGCGACGACGACGGCGAGAACGACGGCGAGCACGACGACGAGGAGGACGACCGATGGGAGGGGAGGAGGAAGATGAGGGAACAGGTAAAAAGCGGGGGGGAGGCGAGAGGAGGGATGGGTGCTCCTTGCAGCTCCTCGGACCTGCGGAGGGCCGAGGAGGGGTTGAGCGAAGGTGGGGCGACGCAGGATGACGAGGAGGGGGGCGGTGGAGGAGAAGAGGCAGCCGTCTGCTGTGTGACGGATGTTGTCTGGCGTTGTCGACAATCGGTTGGGTCGATTCGTTTTTATTTGGGTCGCTTCGGCCGTACCGCGCGTTCGTTCGAACGCGCAATCGCCAGGCGCCGTATGGCGGAGCCGTGGGCATACGAGCTGCCCGAGTTCCTTCCAAGAGGCCACAACATCCTCCTACATGATCCGGCTTTCACAATGGAGTACAGGGCCTTCGAAGTGAAGGTCAAACCTTAATTCTTAAAGGCATTTGAGTGTTTTTGAGACTCTGCGTTGGATTGGACTGGTCTAACACGGTCTTGAGCAACAAAGTATGGGCCGCAGTTACTTCGCCGAACAGCACGTCTTGCAGGAATCTGCAGTGGAATCATTCAGGGAAGTCGAACGCACACAAGATTGGTGGAACTTTTGCCACGGCGGTGTGTACTACCCAAGTAAGCTAGTAGCTGTTTTTGGATTGATTGTTTTTGTTTCGCCGATCGGCGCGGGCCCCCAGCCCCCCCTTCCCCCCTGTAGGCCAGATCTTGGCTGCCTGTGGCGGCTGCGTTTGGAGACCATGAGGAACCCCCCCCTCAAGTCTGCCTGCGCGACTGGTAGGAGCAGACCGTCGTCCAGGCGCGGGGCCAGACCTGGCACCGTACGTGCAGTGGCAGGGGCGGCGGCCCGTCTTCCCATCCTACCATCATAGGGGGATGCGAAGTCCCTGAAGACGGGACGGGGTGGGCACGAGCGGGCATCATAGCCGGCTCAAAATCAAAAGAGGCATCATAGCCTCATCAATCTAGATTGATCCACTCACGGATCCACTGCAATTGATTTTCATTGAATCCATTCCATGCGTAGCATGCTCTCCCCACCCCTTCCCAACCTTCGGCCAGATGTCGAAGCCCCTCATAACACAAGGCTAACCTGCTTGAGCTCTCGCCACCCCCCCTGGGTGCCACCCCTGGGGTAGGTGCGGCTTCGCCCCCGAGCGCGGGCCGAGGCTCGACGGCCGTCAGCTTCGAGACCTCGGGGCGGGAGGAGGGGCCCCTCCAGCCTTGAGCGCTCTGCAGCCCTTCTCGGCGCCAGCCTCGGGGGCCCCACGGACGGCGTGGTGACCACACCCGCGTGGCGAGTCACTGCACGGCTGTGCCGACCACACCGCGGGGTCACCGCACGGGCGAGGTGGCCAGCCGGCCAGCCCAGTGGGAGGTCCTGAGGTGTGAGTCTGGGGTGAGCCCAGCGGGCGGTGTGGTCAGAACAGGCCCAGTCCCGAACACACGGAGTCAGCCCACGGTGAGGCGACCAGACCGCGGGGCCACCGTACGGGGCGCGGGGCGCGGGGCATTCTCCGAGGATGTCTCGTCTCGGGCGACTGGGGCCTGCGAGGTCCCGAAGCCGTGCGGTGGCGGACCGCGCGGTGAGGTCGTCGGGAAGTCCGAGGTCTCCACGCGGCCCGTCACCACATGGTTTGACCCGCACTGTCTTTCCAAGCGTGCCCTTGCATGCTTGCCCCTCTGGCTTCGCCGGCCAGCCCCACTCAAAGAGCGTCAACATGGCTTCCCAGGGGCCTCGGGTCCTTGCCGCACACCCTTACCCGTCAGCCGTTGGAATACTTATTTTCGGAAAGTCGGATACCAATCCAATTAAGGCGCGTTCCTATTGCAGTGATCGAGTGGTTTCACCTTTTCCTTCCTCTTCAGGGGGCCGCCGCAGGCCCAATCTACTTCAGCGCCTTCCTACTCCATGCTTCTGCCCGCTTCTTCCGACCGACGGGTACCACACGGGTTGACTGTAGCTCCGGCTCGCGAGCCCGTGTCACCCACACTCCTGCTGCCAGCAGCGAGGGGTCGCGGGCGGCGGGGGCCAGCGTTGGCGCGCCGCGGCGCCAGGCTGTGTGCCAGCTGCTGCTGGAGCGCGGCGGCCACGCGGCGGGCCGGGGGGGCCACTTTCGCTCGTGGGCTCGGGAGTGCGTAGCTGGGGCGACGCGGCGTCGCCCAGGGGCAGCGCTGGAGCAACGAGATCCGTCTCGCCGGTCGATGAGGGTGGGTATTTTCTGGACTCGCAGATCCCAGTCTGTTTTTGGCGCTTTCTTCCTCGAGGGAGCGAGCGGTGTCCCCTCCCCCCTCCTCTTCAGGGAGCGGTGAGGCGCAGGACGCTAGCCTTCGGCGTAAGCCTCGGGGGCACTCCTGCCCCGAGCCTGATCCCATCTCTTGGGGTTTTTCCTCCGAGCCTGGTCTCAATCTCGTGGTTGACATATTCTAGAGGTTCTTTGGAGCTCTGATCCTGATCCTGATCCTTCGGGGAGCGGGCGGAGGCCTCCTCTCTTCCGATCGCGCTCCCGCTCCGTGCTCCTGCCCCGGCGTCCTCCGGCCCACGGGGGCACGCGTCCACCGCCCCAGGCCTGGCCCTCTTGCCTGGGCCCAGGAGCGGAGCAGATGCCTCCCCCCTCCTGGTGCGGGCGGAGGCCTCCTCTCTTCCGATCGCGCTCCCACTCCGTTCTACTGCCCCGGCGTCTTCCGACCCACGGGGGCACGCGTCCACCGCCCCAGGCCTGGCCCTCTTGCCTGGGCCCAGGAGCGGAGCAGAGGTGCCTCCCCCCTCCTCTTCGGGGTGCGGGCGGAGGCCTCCTCTCTTCCGATCGCGCTCCCACTCCGTGCTCCTGCCCCGGCGTCCTCCGACCCATGGGGGCGCGCGTCCACCGCCCCAGGCCTGGCCCCCTTGCCTGGGCCCACGAGCGGAGCAGAGAGGCCTCCCCGGCCAAGCGCCACAGCAGGGCGCAGGCAGCGCTCCTGGGCCCGGGAGAGGCCCAGGAAGGGGCCAGGCCCGGGGCAGTGGACAGGCGCAGGTCGAATTTGGACAACACACACCCATACCCATAGGGGGGTCGGCTGGAGGAGGACTTGCTATGGGTAGGGGTGCGGGTTGTCGGACCCTGGGGAACGCTCGCGTTCGAGCGGGGAGCCCCATCCGACAACACGCACCCATAGCCCTCTCCGACCCCCCAAATGGATATGGGTGTGTGTTGTTGGTTCGTCAGTGCAGGTCCCGTCGCCCAGAAGGCCAGCGACGGCGTCGACCCCCGATTCGCCCGTGGACCGCCGACGGGGGCCCGATGGCCCAACCCGCCCAGGAGCGTGAGGCCGCGCTATTGGGGGCCCACCGCCGATCTACTGGCGATGTCTACTCCAGATGTCGTAGGGAGAGGGAGGGGGTCGCAACCCTCCCGGACGAGGAGTTTTAGACCCCCTAGACCATGAAAGGGCGGCCCTTTGCCCAGACCCCGAACCCTACAAGACAGCTCAAATCAGCCCCCCCCCCATAATGTGACCTCACTTTAGTAGCTGTCCCCTCCCCCCCTCCCCGGGGGCTAATCCCCCCCCCCCCGTCGTTGCCCCTGAGTCACGGTGGAGGCAGAGTTCGGCGGCCGCAGCACGGGCGGATAGCCCAGGGGGGGGGGGGAGCACCGCAAGTCTCCAGGGATGCCGACCGCCCACGTCCTGTCGACGAGGATGACCGGCGAGTGCGTGTAATGCCAGCCCCTGGGCTGTCCAGTCTCGGGGGTGGAAAAGAGGGGGGTGATGACTAGGGGGGGGGGGATATCATGGCGGGGGCCATGATAGTTCCCCAGATTTCATGGCGCCTCTTCTTATTTCATTACGTCCCTGGCCCCCCCGCTGGGCCGCGCACACGCCGCCGGTCATGATTTGCACCCCCCCCTCTTGGACACCCCCCTCTTGGGCCGCTCCCGACAGTCCTCCTGCCTCCGCCGAAGAGGGGGTGCATGGCCCACAGGGGTGGGGCAAAGCACGTGCTCTCGTGGGAGCGTCGCCAAGCGCACGGGCGATCCTCCTTCCCCGGGGTCATCCGCCCCCAATTTCCAGCCTCGGCACGGGCACGACGGCAGGCTTGTGGCTGCTCTGGGCACACGGGAGGGGAGGGGGGGGGCGACGAGGAACGGCTCGGGATGAGCAAATTGCCCTGGGGAGAAGAGGCCCAGGCCTCTGGGGGTCCATGCTGTGAAGAAAAACGCGACCACGGGAGTACACGCCGGTCGTTGCAAGCAGGTGTTCTTGGAGTCGGCGTTGGATAGACCTCCTACCCTGGCACGTCGATTAGTGAATTGGCCTTTTTCGGTTCGCGAGAGGGCGTCACAGCCGTTATTTTTGCGGGTCCAAGTCCGTCGGTTTTGGTCTTAGGCCGTCTTCACTAAAGGGTGGTTTACTAAAGGAAGGTTTGTCCACCGCCGATGGAGGTCCAGGTCCCAGTCTATTTCAAGCGTCTTCCTAACTCAAGGGTCGATGCGTTTTTGCTGTTTGTTGTTGCTCGCTGGGCGGGCCCGAACCCAATCTACTGCATCCGCCTTCCTATTTCATGTCTCCAACTACTTTTTCCGACAGGCGGGTACGGGTCTCTCCCCTCTTCTTCCTCCTCCTCCTCCTGCTCCTCCTCCTCTCCCTATTCCTTTTAACTGGGGAAGGAGCAGAGGGGCATTTGGGCGACAAGTATGGAGGAGGACTGGGCGCGGTCGCCACCTGAGGCCGTCCGTGAGGGCAGCCCGAGCTGACACGGCCAGGAGGTGCCCCGGCCTTTCTCGCGCTGCTGATGCCGCCCGCGTCACGCCCCTCGCGTTCGCCCCTCTTCCTGCACTGCCCTCCCTCCTTGCCCTGCCCCCCCTCCGTCTTCCGCGGGGGGGGGGCACGCGCGCGCTGGCGTCGTGTCGCGGGCGTGGGTGTCGTGAGGGCGGCGGCGGAGCAGCCTCCTAGTCTTACATAACCCAGGGAAGACCGCTGTCTGTGGTCGCTTGCAGGGCCCCCCCCCCCGGGCCGGAGCCGGGGGTGCGAGGGGGGGAGAAAGCCCTCCCACCCTGAGTTCGAACCGGGGGGGGGGGACGTCTTCGGCGTCGGCGTCGGCGGCGTCGGCGGCGTCGGCATCGGCGTCGGCGTCGGCGTCGGTGTAGGCGTAGGCGCAGGCGGCGTCGTCGCCGTCGGCGTCGTGCTCGGCGCCAATCGTCGTCGTCATCGTCGTCGTTGTCGGCGGCATCGGCGTCGGGCTGGCGTCGGCGTCGTGCTCGGCGTCGTGCTCGGCGTCGTGCTCGGCGTCGTGCTCGGCGTCGTCGTCATTGTGTCCAGCGTCGGCTTCGGCGTGGGCGTCGTCGTCGCCGTCGTCGTCGGTGGTGTCGGCGTCGGTGTCGCCGTTGTCGTCGACGTCGCCGTCGACGTTGTGGTCGGCGTCGTGCTCGGCGTCGTGCGCTGGAGTCGGTGTCGAGCTCGGCGTCGTCGGCGTCGGCGTCATCGTCGTGGCGGCGGCATCGGCGTCGTCGTCGTCGGCGTTGTGCTCGGCGTCGTGCTTGGCGTCGTGCTCTTCGTCGGCGCCGGCGTCGGCGTCGTTGTCGGAGTCGTCCTCGGCGTCGTGCCTGGCGTCGTGCTTAGCGTCGTGCTCGGCGTCGTGCTCGGCGTCGTCGTCGTCGCCGGCGTCGGTATCGTGCTCGGCGAAGTTGTCGGCGTCGGCGTCGTCGTCGGCCGCGTCGGCGTGGGCGTCGGCTTCGTCGTCGACGTCGCCGTCGGCGTCGTGCTCTCCGCGTCGTGCTCTTCGGCGGCGTCGGCGTCGTCGCAATCGTCGGCATCGTTGTCGTGCTCGGCGTCGGCGTCGGCGTCTTTTACTCGGCGTCGTGCTCGGCGTCGTGCTCGGAGTCGTCGGCGTCGGCGTCGGCGTCGGCGTCGTCGGTATTGTGCTCGGCGTCGTGCTCGGCGTCGTCGCTGGCGTCGGTGTGGGCGTGGGCATCGGCATCATCGTCGTCGTCGGCGCGTGCTCGTTGTCGTTGTTGTCTTCGCTGTCGGCGCCGCCGCTGCCGTGTCGTCGTCGTCGCCGTCGTCGTCGCCGTCGTCGTCGTCGTCGTCGTCGTCGTCGCCTTTTCCCCCCCCCGCCCTCCCGGGTTTCTGGGGGGGGTATGTTTTCCAAGCAAGCGCCTGCAAAACGCGCTCTCTCAAACTTCGGATCGGAGCCCCAGCGAGACCGAAGCTGTTGGTCAGCCCGAGCCTCCCCTCCGTCAGCTGGGGGAGTTCTGGGGGGGCCTCTTGGCGCCTCTGGGAGCTACTCCCGAGGCTCTCGTTGGGGCCCTGCTGGGCTCCGTTGCAGCCCTCGTGCTCTCTGGGGGGCGCTTGGGGCCCTCCTTGGGATCCTCCAGGGTACCTTCGACCCAGCGCCAGCTAGCGCTGCCCCCTGGTAGCCCGACAACTCCAATCTCGCGGCCATCCTGGGGCCATTTTGGATCGGAGGCATTTCAAAGCCGTCTCGGGGCTCTCATGGGCCCCTCTCGTTATTCTTCCCCTGGGCCCTTTTCGGGGGTTAGTGATCTCGAGGCTTCGCGAGCCCATTGAAAGCGAAAATGCGAGGAGTCAAATGTACCGCCCCCCCCTTCAGGAAAAAAAGAGAAATCGATTGGACGATTGACGTACTGGGCATCTCGGACGCATCTTTAGGAGGATCTTTGGCCACTTTGAGCCGTTTGGGGGCCTCTTCGAGTTTGAGGCATGCTGGAGGTCAATGTGTACAATCTTGCGCGATGTTTCAGCCCAGCAGGGCTTTCTTGTTAGGGGTAGTCCGTGAGCGCAAGGCCAACGCGGCCCGCCCGTCAAGACCGTCAATACCTGTTGGTGTGGGAGCCAGAAGACGGGATAGACCCATCCCTAACGGGGGCGAGTAGGATGACGTACATGATCCCCTGCTTCATCTCGCGCCAGAGGGCTGATGGGATTCAATGTTAGGTGGCATCACTAAAGTTTGGCATGGTTGTCAACCATGTGGTCTGATGGATTAGCGTTGGACGCCGGAAGTCTAGGCTTGGCTTCGACCGGGGGTGGTAATGTATCTTGGAAAGAGCGCGTTCTTTTGGTCGTTTGGAGGGGGAGGGGGCCCTACCGTTTCTCTCTCCCTCTCCTCGGCTGGCGGCAACGGCGGCGGGGACGACGATTTCCTTTTCTGGGCTGGCGCCGGCGCATGCGGCGGCGGGGGCGGCAGCGGCGGGGAGCGTCGACGAGGACGACGGTGGTGGTGGTGGTGGTTGTGGTGGCGGTGGCGGTAGTGGTCGTGGCGGTGGTAGTGGTTGTGGTGGTGGTGTGGTGGTTTGTTGTTGTGGTGGTGGTGGTTTTGGTGGTGGGTTTTGGTGGTGGTGGTGGTGTGGTGGTGGTGTGGTGGTTGTTTTTGGTGATGGTGGTTGTGAGGTGGGTTGTGGTGGTTGTTTGGTGGTGGTTTGTGGTGGTGGTGGTGGTGGTGGAGGTGGGCTTTGGTGGTGGCGGTGGTTTGTGGAGGTGGTGCTGGTGGTGTTGGTGGTGGTGGTGGTGTGGTGGTTTGTGGTGATGGTGGTGGTGGTGGGCTGTGCTGCTGGTAGTGGTAGTGGTTGTGGCCTTGGTGGTGGTGGCGTGGTAGATTGTGGTGGTGGTGGTGGTAGTGGTGGTGGGTTTTTGTGGTGGTGGTGGTGGTGAGTTTTGGTGGTGGTGGTTTTGGTGGTGTGGTGGCTGTGGTGGTGGTGGTGGTGGTTGTGTTGTGGGTTGATGGTGGTGGTGGTGGGTTAAGGACGTGGTGGTGGTAGTGGGGGTGGTGGTGGTGGTAGTGGTGGTTATCGTCGCTGCGCCCCCGCCGTCGCCGGCGCCGGCGCCGGCGCTGCTGGCCGCCGCCAGCGTCAGCGCCGGCGCCAGGGGGGGGGGGTGAACCCCCCCACCTCCCCTTGGGCTGCCTCTGGTCATCGTCGCTGCGTCCCCGCCGTCGGCGCTGCTGGCGGCCGCTGGCGCCGGGGGGAGGGGTGACCCCCCCCCCTTGGGAGAGGGGGGGGTCGGAGGGGACGTTTGGGGGGGAGGGGAGTCCCCCTGGTTTTGATCGACGGCGCCGAGAGTGTGGGGGGGGGGGGCACCCCCCGAGTCGAAACGCGCCGCCGAATATTCCCAAGGCGAGCGCCCGTGAAACGCGTTGTCTTAGATGTTGCCAACCGTGTCCCCAAGTGCAGGTCGGATTCGGGGAGGGGGGAGGCACAACTACCACTCCAGGTGTAGCGGCTGCGCACAGATGCTTTGCAGGTTGCGATTTGCATGCGTCCTGAGGGTTTCGACATCCCGTGCCCCTCTGTCGGATTGGATGCCTGCGGAGGGGGGTGGAGTGGCAGGGCGGCATCTCCGACGCCGAGCTGCCCCCGGTGCTGAGGCCCGACGCTGCGTTTATTAGTGCTCTTGTCCGCCTCGCGCTTCAGCAGCCAACGCATATCGAAGGAAGAGGCACACTGACCATGACGTCGCGGGAACTTGTCGACGCCGATCTTGGTCATGGTCTCGGTTGTTTTTGAAACCGATTGGTGCGTTTTTGTTTTTCGTATTCCATGTTTTGCTTTTCATGTGACCAAAGCGCTACAACAACATATTGGAATGTGGATACCAGGAAGACGGCATTTTGATACCCAAACGCTTTTTTTGTATAACAGCGCATTGCAAAGTGAAAGAAAACGAACAGGTGGGCCACGGGCCGACATTATATTTGACAACGGAAAAGCATGGCGCCCACAATTTATAGAAATCGCAAATCTTTGAACACGGACAACAGAGCGCCCTTCAGTGTGTTTAGTACCATCGGAGGTCGTGGTGTATGGTGGCCATTGCGGGTTCGCGAGGATGGCCCACGAATCGGCGGTGACCAGGATGGACGGTGATCAAGGTCGGTTTTTCCCTTCCAACACAATTGCACATTGCACCCATGGTCTTGAGTAAGAAACTCGCCGCTTCGAGTCAGCCCCTGTCAGTCTGTGTTCGTATCGCCTGCTTCCTGAGCCTCTGGATCAGGCAAGTTCCTCATTGCTCCAGGGGCAAAGTTGCCTGAGCCGCGATCGCGGATATACTGTTTTATGGGTATGTGGCCGATCTTGGAGTTTCGATGTGCAGCTTGGACTTTCAGGTTTGGAAGCGTAACTTTCATGTCATGTAAGCCGGGGGATCGAGTTTCAGTGTGGTCGACCTGAATGGCATGTCGTTGCGATGTTCGGACGTGTTGACCGTCGCGCGTTGTATGTCGTATGGTTCTTGCGTCGGCCAACAGTTGTACGACAGAGGAGAGGCTAGACCTTCGTCATTGCTACGGGGCATACGGAATTGTCATGCTTCGTTTCCGACCCCTTTTTGTGACGGGTTCGCCGCGGGGGCCCACAGCAGGGGTCATGCCCTATTGATGTTGCATATTGCATCTGGTCCGCGCTCGTTTCTCACAGGTATTCTCCCACCGCGCGCTTAGATTTCGGGCGCCCTGAGGTTTCGCCCCGTCGGCTATCCCTTAGCGTTGGACCGATTCACGTCCCAGGCAAATATAGGAGACTGATCAAGGAGTGTGTGGTGCGCTTTCTAGCAAGGTTGCCCAACATGCATCTTGAACCCTTCATGTCCTGATACTGGTCCAGAACGATTGTTGGATAGCTTCTCGATCTTGGGAAGATGCATTTTGATGTAGTCCATGTGGACACGTGCACTGGTTTGAACTTGGCAAGTTCACAATGCAGACGATGGTTGGATGCTGATGGTGACCCACCTTGGGCGGGCCAGATCAAACGGATCACGAGCAAGCTCATTATGCATTCTGCGCCAGTGCGTTTTGGATAGGGATTCGGTTCACTCGGAATCTTGAAGAAGGCCATTCTGGATCGAGAGTTTGCCTCATCTGGATCGCATGGGCTTCCAGAGCCTCACCATCCCCACCTGTCCTGACCGGTTTCTTCTAGATCGTGAAGCGGTCGATATTTCGCATCTCGCTTTTTTTGACGATCCTGTCCACAATTCACGATCTAAGCGAATTAGATTATCCATCTGCCATCCTTCGTCGCCGTTTCCACCTTTTGCCCCGTCCCCCACACGGATGACCTGGCCATTTCCTCAGTCTTCGCTTCCCGCTTTTGCGCGGGTCTTGGATCGTTTGTGTATCCTTTCGTCGTCACCCGAGCCATGACCCGACAGGATTGGGATCGAGATACAGACCTATAGTTGGGTTGCCAATCTGGTCTGGTCGTTCTCCCTCTCTCCCTCTCTGTCCTCTCTCGGCCTTGCCCCCACTTTCTTTTTGTTGCTGTTCGTTGTTTATTGTTCCCTCTGTCTCTTTCTCTTGTTTGTTTTCTCTCTCTCTCCCTCTCTCCCTCGCTCTCTCTGCAATATACGCAGGCTACTTGTTCAGGCACATAGATGCTAACCAACATGGACCCCACACGGTATGGTTCTCTTAAGAGATGTTGCGCAATAAATGTTTGTGTCGTGGCACGCTGTGCGTTGTGACATCCATGTGGGGCAATGCATGTGAAGCAAGCAGCGTGGTGCAACATATGTTGTGGAATATAGACTGTGCAACGCCCGGTGCGCAATCTAGTGGTGCAGTTTTTGTGAGACCATCTATGTGGTGCAGCATGAGGGTTACAATCTATGTGTCGATCCACGTGGTACAATACAGGTGGTACACCATATCTGGGACACATTGTGTGGTGCAAGCTATGTCGTGCAAGTCATGCGGTGTGTACTTTATGGTGTGCGATCTATGTGGAGCAACCTGCGTGGTGCAACTTATGATGTGGAAGTAGTTTTTTTTTTGTTTAGTGAGTTATCCACTCCGCTGCTCGCGCAATCATCTCACTCACCCACCCACCCGAAAGTTGGTTTGCAAAACCCATGCTGCGGCGATTGCGAAGAGTGTCTGGCGTTGGTTGGTGCATCTCTGCGGCAGCGCAAACTCGCACATGCTCGCGCGCGCGGCGGCCCGATAGTTTGTCGCTACCGACGCGTCCGCGGTGGCGTTAGCCGCTGGGACATTCCCAGCTGCCGTTTCTGGCGAGTCGGCGACTTGGGCGGGCGCGGTATCATGGCAACGTCGACACCAGTAGACGCGATGGACATGGTAGCGATGCCGGTAACGATGGTGACGACAGCGACGGCAGTGCCAGTGACGGCGCCGATGCTGATCACGCCGACGACGATGACGGTGCCCTCGCGTCGGTGATGGGCCTTTTGGACAACGGTTCGACATGCACGCGCGGCCGACGCGCGAGATTGGCCCGCATGGTTTTCTTTGACACGGATCGTGCCCCCTGTCAACACGCGCGCAAGTGTTTTCGACTGATTCTGACTCGCGGCGCGAGGGAGCCGTTCAGCCGAAATTGATAAACGTGTGTGTTATGTTTTTTTTTGTGTTGTGTGTGTATCTATAACGATTTCCTTAGGAATTTGCAGGAATGCGGGCGCAGGCATGTTCTCCAAACTGTTCGACAAAATAAGCATACGTTCGCAGGACAGTCGGCTTTGACCTTCACGAAACCGGGACGGATTCGGGACTCGCGCGCGCGACGATACGCGCGCGTTCATTCCTCCACTTGTTGTTGCAAAGGGTTCTTGCGACAACACGCGCGCTAGGGCGCTCGAGCGATTCTGGTGCGCGCGCGAGAGGCCCGCGCGGTAGCACGTTATGGGGACAAATGAAGAAAACCAGAAAAGCGTATGGTTTCTTCAGAATTCGCAGGGCCACGTGTTCTTGAAACCCTTACGGAACCGAAGGTTTTTGAAGGATTTCGGCACGCGTGCGCGACGACGCGCGCGCGCATGTTGTTCCGTTCTTGTTCAAGGGGTTCTTGAAAACCAAAGGTGTTTAGTAAACGAGTGCCCGCACATTTGGTTTTCCAAAATGTTGAGAGGGGGAGATTGGCTTCGCTGGGATCATATTGTTTCAAAGTTAGGATGGACAATGGGGCAGACTCGCGCGTACATTGCGAGACGAATATCAGACGGTCCGTTAAGTCCGGGGCGCGGGGTACAGATCCTAACACTTTCCTTTTCGAGAGGAGAACATATGGCATGCCATCATGTTGCGCACTTATTTTCTTGTCGCAATGAGTTGTCAACCCCACTTCTCGCGCAATCCCACCCACCCGCCCGAGTGTCTGGCGTTAGCTGGTGCATGTTTGCGGCAGCGCGAGGCCATGCATGCTCGAGCGCGCAGCGGCCAGGTGGCGCGGCGCTACCGACGCGGCCGCGGCGGCTCTGGCCGCTGGGCAATTCCCAGTGGTCACTTCAGTGCGAATCGGCGACTTGGGCGGGCGTGGCATCATGGCGACGTCGAAAGCGATAGACGCGGCGATGGCGGTAGCGATGGTGGCGTCGATGTTGACAACGACCACAGCACGGCAAATGACGGCGCCAATGCTGGCCGCGCCGCCGACGACGACGACGACGACGACGACGACGACGACGACGACGACGACGACGACGGCGCCCCGGCGCCGTCGATGAACGTTTCGGAAGGAGTTCGACACTGCGCGCGTTGTCGACGTGCGAGGGCGGCTTTCGTGGTTTTATTTGGCAGGAATCGCGCCCCCCCTCCGCGCGCGCGCTAGGGCGTTCGAATGATTTCAACGCGCGGCGCGAGGGGGTTCGCGCGGTCGAAGCTAATGAATGTGTTGAAATCTAACCATTGCCTTACGAATTCACAAGAGCGTGGGCGCAGGCATTTTTGAAAACTGACGTTGCGAAACCACGTGTTGTTAATATGATTTCGGGGCGCTCAACTTTGAAATTTTCGCGAAACAAAATATTTTACAAAGGATGACCGCACGCGCGCGCGACGACGCGCGCGCCCGTATTTCGCCGGTGTCTGTTGTTTGGGAGTCTCGACGCGCGCGTGACACGCCCGCTTGGTAGCTATCAATGAAAAGCTGTGGTCTTCGCATGAATTCGCAAGAGACCGATTGTTGTTTCTGGTTTGAGAATTTGGTTGCAAAGCCGCGTGGTTTCATATGTTTTCGATGTGATCGATTCTGATATCTTCGCGATACCTAAGTTTGCAAAGAAATGATTTCGGCATGCGTGCGGCTACACGCGCGCACTTCGTCGGGCTTTCCAGGTATTTGGGAACACCAGCGGTCTTTGATTTCGATAAACTAGTGCGCGCGCGCATTTTTTGTTGAGCAGTTTGAAGGGGGGGTGGAGACCGGCCTGCCTGTGATGGTCAGAGTGAGGGGGCCGAACGGTCATCTATTGCTTGGGTGCGCGGCTGAAGTGGGTTTCCGCGAGCGACCCGGCCCGCGACCCGCCCGCGACCCGCCCGCGACCCGCCTCGCGACCAACCCGCGACCCACCGGCGACCCACCCCGCGACCCGCCAGCGAGTTATCTTATCCGCGACCCGCGCGCGACC